CCAGCTCAGCCCACCAGGGGGCGGGGCTGGCTGGCATGTGGTGCTGGGGGATTGAACCGCGGTCCCTGTGCTTTGCTAAGCTTGTTCTAAGTAGTTGCTTTAGACCACTGAGCCATCTCTCCAGCCCTCTATTACCTGTTGTTTTATTCTTTTTTTTAACTGCTTCGCTAATCTTCTGCCCACATGCTCTGGGGCTTCCTTTAAGAAAAGATTTATAGCCATTTTCCTGTCTAAGCAAATTTTCTAGAACTCAGTTTTATGAACTCAGCCTTTTTTTTTTTGTTTTCAATTTATGGAAACAAGTAATGGGTTGGATAGAGTTGGTTATGGCTAGGAAAGCTTTGCAGGCCCATCCCTTGCACTGCTGTCTGCATTTGGCAGGTACTGCACATGCCCTCTAATTTCTACTCCAACCACTGCTCCCTCCTGCCTCCACTGTCATGGGGTTGTTCCTGCTACTCACATCTCTCCTTGGATGTCTGTTGTGTTAAGTGCTTGAAGCAGAGTCCTTCCTGTGTTTCTTACTATTGTGCAGCCTATTCCATCTAATGGGACAACCACATAGTTACTTGAACCGAAACCTTAAGTTTCCTTCTTAAATTCTGAATTCTCCCACACTTCATTATTTATTTATTTATCCAGACAGGGTCACGCTATGTAGTTTGGGCTGGCTTGAACTCACTAGGTAGCCCAGTCTGGCCTCAAATTCCTAGTGGTCCTTCTGCCTCGACCTCCTGAGTACTGGGATTATAGACATGGGCCACCATGCTCCATTCTCTTTTACCCTTTAAATTCATCATTTAGCAGTCTGTGTCCCTAGTCTGCACAGTATACCACAGGTCAGACTCTTCTGTCTCCTCCACCAATGAACCCTTGTCTCCTTCCGTCCACTGATCTCTATCTAGACTATGCAGCAACTTTCAAGATGGTGTCCCTCTTGGAGGCCCTACCTTGCCCAGCTGTACCCTGTCCTCCACCCAACAGCCAAGGCAACATTTTAAAAACCCTAACCCTAGTGAGAACCCTGTTATAATTTCTCCTTGCATTAGAAGAAATCTCAAGTTCTCCATCCAAGAGTCCAAGACCACTGAACTCTTTACCTTCAGCCTTCCTCATTCTATTCTTCTTCCCACTTGGACTTTCTTTCTGCCCTTGCAGCATGTCAAGCTTGCTGTCATTTCAGGAACTTTGTATATGTTGTTCTTCCTCTTGGGGAATAAGCTTACTCTTAAGTCTGTCACAGTGACTCTTCTTAAGAAAAGAACTTTTTATGTTTGTTGTGCATAATGATTACACCCTTCATGAGGAGCAGGTGCATGCACAGAGTGCCTCTTTAAGCATTTTGCTTCTGCTTCCCTTCTCTCTGCCCTCCTTCCAGCTCACAGACCTCTTCCCATTTACAAAGCTCTAAGTCCCTTTTTCCCTTTTTTTAAAAAAACAAACAAACGTACTCAGTACAGTGTCTACAGGGTCTCTGTATAGATTGGGCTCATAGTGATCCTCCTGTTTGCACCCTCCCAAGTGCTGGGATTACAGGCTTGTGCCACCATGCCCAGTCTCAGTCACCATCTCAGTGTGCCTTGGGGGTGGGGCCTGCATGGCACGCCGGGGACCTAACCCCAGTCTCTGTGCTTTGTCTAAGCAGGCGCTTTAGTCCGCTGTGCTATCTGGCCGGCCCTGAAGTTCCTGTCATCATTCTTATCATCTCGTCATTCATGTCTCAGATCAAATTTCATTTTGCAAGACCGAATTTTCTTAAATACACCAAGTTAAAGCCACCTCACACAAATTTACACCATTTCTGATTTGATTTTTTCCATACTGTTTTAAATTATTTTATGTATTTGCTTATTTACTGTGATGATATATACCTTGATGCATTTTAGCATTTTAATATATCTAGCATGTATTTGTGAAATGGAGAAATTAATGAATTTTGTTTCATTGCACGCTTCATGAAAATTAATCTGGCACCTCACATAGAACTGGTATTAGACAAGCATTGAATTAGACTTACTTCTACCAAGGAAAATATCTAATATTTTTGTTTGGCTGTCTTGAATATATATTATATTAGATAAGCTTGACAAAAAGATAACCGGCACATTTTTGGATTCAATTCTGATGCAGAAGATGGAGCTTTTACCTGATTTCATAATTATTAAGTTGCTTGATTGCATTCTTGGCTTCCAGTTTATTTGAGAAAGTTACAAATGCATATCCTCTATTGTTGCCATTAAAATCCATCATCATTCTCATTTCATAAATTTTACCAATCTGTAAGAAATACCAACAGAAAATTCAGTTATATGTTTGTCCTTCCAAATGAATGCACACATGCACATGTGCGCGTGCATGCGCACACGCATGAAAAACACGTACACACACACACACACACGCATGCACAATGTTTTCTGTACTGTGCCTCCTGCCAGTGTTTGACATTTGCATCCCGTGTGGAATGGCCTGTGTATTTCTTTATACTGGGCGCAGATCAACTATCTGGCTGATAGAAAAGTCAAGTTAAATAAAGAAAAAATATACAAGTGGCGTTTCAGCTTGAATTAATGGGATGTTTTTGACAGAGCAAATGCCCTTTCATCACACCATTATCTGAAGATTTACACAGTTTCTTCAGGGCCTGAAAACGCATTTGTCATCAGAAGCATGATTTCTTGATAGAATTGTCATCCCTGCCTTCCAAATGGGCTCTTGAGGTCTCCACAATTTGACCTGTGCTTGGTCACACTCTAGCACTGATGTTTAAAACAAAAGCTACGAAGACTCATTTGGAAGGTTGCTAAGCTAACTTCTTGTCAGATTGAACAAGCATCTCAGAGGATGGTCCAGGGGATGCTGTTACTTTCTCAGGTTGTATGATGAAGGTAAATGCCCGCACATCTCAGTCCCCCGGGTGCACAGCCAGACATCCATAGCAGAAGAGCCTCACCTTATCCCTTGCTACAGCTCCTCCGCTTGCTCATGTCATATTCCCTCTTATACCCAGCTATCCTCTAGCAACCCAGGAAAGCAATTCGTTATCTTGGGCTGCTAGAAAGGGATGGCCTAAACAGACACAGTAGGCAGGTGTGCAGAGTGTCACTGAGCACCGGCCATCCCTGAGGACTGCACTGTCTCTCAGCTCCCTGCTGAGAGGTTGTAATGACGGGTGCTTATTTCTTCCAAACTCTTGGGAAAGAGTTTGAGCTCTTCACAGTCTTTGAAGAGTCTGCTTCATCTGTGCTTCAGGGGTCTCTTGGTACTTATTTGGTGAGGCTAAGAATATAAAATTCTGAAAGGATTATAGCTTGTGTATATGCCAAAGGGAATTACAGATGTAAAATTAAGTCCAGTTCGGACTCTGGGGCTGAGTTACACACATATCTCCATGCACAGTGAAAACTGATTTGGGAATTTAGGAGAAGAGCTAAACTCTCACGTTTACTACATTTTTCTGGAACATACATCCTGCTAATGACAATTCAGTAGTCGTAAAAACATTAAATATTTTTGAGCTTTGTGACAAAATATTCTTTGGAATTAAAACTGAAGACATGTATTTTTTATAACTATATATGATATTGAGAAGCCATGTTTTTAATCTTATTGTTACATTAGGGTAGGCAAGAAATGCCTATTAATGAAAGAAAGTCACTAATCACTTTTCTTCTGAGTCAATGTGCAGAGGAACATACTTCAGCCATGACGAGCACACCTGTTGCTTTTACCTAGCAATGATGTTTTAAAAAATCATATTAAAATGTCAACTTGAGGCAGTATCTTACCTAGACAGACTGCTGTAGTGTGATTCTAGATTGAAAGACACAATGAATTTATAATGAGATGGCCTTGGAGGAAAATGACTGGAAAACAAGACATAAATCTGAGCATCATTAGCAATGTTAATTCATTGTGAAAAGGACAGAGCTGAGCCAAGTGTGGGGAGATAGCTCAGGGTAGAGTGGCTACCTCGCAAGTGCAAGGTCCTGAGTTCCATTCCTGGTACAAAGAAAGGAAGAAAGGAAGAAAGGAAGAAAGGAAGAAAGAAGGAAGGAAGGAAGAAAGAGAAAAGCGAAGAAAAGAAAAGGAAAAGAAAGGAAAGGGAAAAAAAGAAAAGAAAGGAAAGGAAAAGAAAAAACCAAGCCAAGACACTAAAAAAGGCACGCTCATGGCTGGAAACATTTTCACTTTGGCAATTGGAAGAGAAACCATCACTGACCAAGATGAACAAGAGAGAAAGCAAAGTGAACAGAGCAATAATTTTCCCTTGAAAGGTAAGAAAAACTAAATATTAAATTCAGACTCAAAAAAAATCAGACTCACTTTTTCACATAATGGTATAAGTTCATCTTCAAAAAGGTCCCGGGGAAGTTTTCCAATAAAAATCTCACAGCCTCTTTCTGGGGGCGGAGCATCCCAGCCCGGTGGAGGGCCCCCGTACTTTCTCTGACCATTTTCCTGCAATGCCAGGGTGGGGTGAGGGAGAGAAGCAAATGACAAAATCTTTAACTTGATTTCCTTGATTATTTTTCAGATTCATTTTTCATTGACAAGTCCTAATAGTCAACCAGTTGGATGGAAGTGAAGGCTTTCGTGTGTATCCTAATATTGCACTCTATGCTTCAGAGACTTGCTCGAGACAAGCACAGATAAAATTTGAAAGTACAAATGCAAGAGGTGATTACTTCAAATGTTATTTTGTTGCACTGGAGTGTCTAACATAGATCTACCATTTTAACAAATTAAAAGAGTTATTGCATCCACTCTCATATAGATTCTGCAAAGCCTAGTGATTTTAATCTGGAGTCTGATTTCATGTTGCAGGCTGGGTGTGTGGGGGCAGTGACACTGGAGCTGGGTGATGCAGCTTTGTTACTTGCTAGCTGTGGACACAGCCCAGGGACTTAGCGTCTCTAAGGTTTTCATTAGAGGGGCAGCGCATCCCATGAGCTTGGCTCTTGGCCTATGATAAACATTCAACAGTTATTAATTCCTTCCTTGCCTCCCTGGGTTTATGTTGTTTCTTCAACCAGATCAGACACTCTCAGCACCAAAAAAGAACTATAGAAAAGTTAACACATGGAGAAGTGAACCAGCTAATCTGGGGAAATGTGGTGAGGCTTTTAAATCTGTTTCCAAAACTGATGTAATGGTAAGAGGTGTCTATGCATGGTAGATTTTTATATAGGGAACAATGACATTCACAGTCCAAGTAGAGTTAGCTTCTTTTTTTCCTCCTTTGTTCTAACAAATGTCCTTTTCCCCTTTAACCTAATGAATGTACTTTTCCCCTATGACCTAAAAAATGTCCTTTTTTCTCCTTTGAGAAGGACTAACAACAGTGTTTTCCACACAGTTATCTTTGCTTTGTAGAAGATAAAGACCAAAGTGAAGAATGAGCTGAATTGATTTATACTTGTTCAATTTTTGGACAAAGGTAAACTACTTTGCACTTTGACACAGTTCAAGAGCTCAGTCATTACGTTTTATTGTGATATTTAGAGAAAGGAACATGTAAGGGACAAACCATCACCTTTAATTATTAACTTTACAATTAATATTTTAAGAAGTTTTATTCTAGAATACATGTTGTGAAACAAACAGTAACATAGGCATTCAAAAGAGAAATGCCCCAATGTGTCATTACTCATCCCGAGAAGTAGTTACTGGTCAAAGCTTCAGTCTGAGTTTCAAATATTTTCTCTGTACAATCTTAAAAGGTTGGTATTAGTTGTTTAAGGACATTTTGCAATTAAATGTTTGTTGTTTAAAATTAAAGTAAAGCAGCTTTTAGTATCACTGTGAAATCTCTAGACCACCTTGAGTATTACAATTTTTAAATAAGAGTTTCCTCAAAGGCTCTTTGGATCACTATATTTAAACTATGCCTGTGCTCAGGATCACTTTTTAATTCTCAATAATTTATGTCATATTGGGTTAAATAATGTGATAAATAGTCTATATTTTCTTGACTACTTACTTGTGGCAACTGAGTTTTTCATATTATTGAATATTTCAGATTTTGCCTATAGACTTGTGATTTTTTTTCTTGGCCTGCATCCTTATTCAGTAGTGAAACTTTGGTCTCACTGATGAATGGAAGCGTTTGTGTTAGAAAATAAGACAAAGCAAAATGTTTAGGATTCAGTGGTCTTTAGCTCATCAAAAATTTCCTAAAACTATAAATCTGACACATATTCTAACAAATGGCTGTATAGCTCTTACTACATGGTGGGTGGTGGTCTAATCCTCATGACAGTACCATGAGTTAGAAACTATTGCTATCCAATTGACAGAGGACCCTGAGGTCCAGAGAGTAACTTGCTGAGGCCAGTGGTTGTAGGGGAAGGAAGGAGGATCTGAACCCAGGAATTCCACTTTAGCTTAATCCCTTAATCTTACTGCCTTGACCAACAGAAGCCTGAGAATTTATAACAGATTACATTAAAATGCTTTTTTTTATGAAAAAGTTGACAACATCCTTGCTACATATAATATCCTCTTCAATTTGCACTCATTTTATTGAACTCAATATTTAATTTGATTTTTTTTTTTTTTTGTTCCGTATTCCTTCAGGGCATGTTTGGCTGGCTTTAGTTCTGGGAATCGAACCACAGCAACTTGAGGTGGACTGCTTTGTTGAAGCAGGCACTTAAAGAGCTGAGCTAAGGGACAGGCCCCCAACAGTATTTAATTTTAAAGAGAAAAATAAAATTTTAGAAAAGGATAATAGGAGGGCAGCAATGATTAATACACTGGGTATTGTTACCTTTAAATTAGTTGCTGAGTACAAGATTTCAGCACTTAATTGTCCAAAGAATATTCATACAAATCTTTTTTTCAATAAACTAAGATAAATTAGCCGAACTAATGAACTAAGACAATTATCATTCATATATATGTATATGAACTGCATA